ATCTCGGACACTAATAATTTATGGGACTACCATATGGATACTGTCTCGGACACTAATAAAGTAGGGGACTACATTATGGGTACTGTCTCGGACACTAATAAAGTAAGGGACTACCATATGGATACTGTCTTGGACACTAATAAAGTAGAGGAATACCTGATGGGAACTATCTCGGAAACTAATAATTTAGGGGACTACCATATGGATACTGTCTCGGACACTAAGAAAGTAGAGGATTACCATACGGATACTGTCTCGGACACTAATAATGTAGAGGACTACCTTATAGGTACCGTCTCGGACACTAATAAAGTAGGGGATCACCTTATGGGTACTGTCTCGGACACTTATAAAGTAGAGGACTACCTTATGGGTACTGTCTCGGTAGAGGACTACCTTATGGATACTGTCTCGGACACTTATAAAGTAGAGGACTCCCTGATGGGTTCTGTCTCGGACACTAATAAAGTAGAGGACTACCCTATGGGTTCTGTCTCGGACACTAATAAAGTAGAGGACTCCCTTATGGGAACTGTCTCGAACACTAATAAAGAAGAGGACTACCTTATGGGTACTGTCTCGGTAGAGGACTACCTTATGGATACTGTCTCGGACACTTATAAAGTAGAGGACTACCTTATGGGTACTGTCTCGGGCACTAATAAAGTAGGGGACTACCTTCTGGGTACTGTCTCGGACACTAATAAAGTAAGGGACTACCATATGGATACTGTCTTGGACACTAATAAAGAAGAGGAATACCTGATGGGAACTATCTCGGACACTAATAATTTATGGGACTACCTGTCGCGGACACTAATAAAGTACGGGACTACCATATGGATACTGTCTCGGACACTAATAATGTAGAGGACTACCTTATAGGTACCGTCTCGGACACTAATAAAGTAGGGGATCACCTTATGGGTACTGTCTCGGACACTTATAAAGTAGGGGACTACCTGATGGGTTCTGTCTCGGACACTAATAAAGTAGAGGACGACCTTATGGGAACTGTCTCGAACACTAATAAAGCAGAGGACTACCTTATGGGAACTGTCTCGAACACTAATAAAGAAGAGGACTACCTTATGGGAACTGTCTCGAACACTAATAAAGAAGAGGACTACCTTATGGGTACTGTCTCGGGCACTAATAAAGTAGGGGACTACCTTATGGGTACTGTCTCGGACACTTATAAAGTAGAGGACTACCTGATGGGTTCTGTCTCGGACACTAATAAAGTAGAGAACTACCTTATGGGTTCTGTCTCGGACACTAATAAAGTAGAGGACTACCTTATGGGAACTGTCTCGAACACTAATAAAGCAGAGGACTACCTTATGGGTACTGTCTCGGACACTTATAAAGTAGGGGACTACCTGATGGGTTCTGTCTCGGACACTAATAAATTAGAGGACTACCTTATGGGTACTGTCTCAGGCTCTAATAAAGTAGAGGACTACCTTATGGGTACTGTCTCGGGCACTAATAAAGTAGGGGACTACCTTATGGGTACTGTCTCGGACACTAATAAAGTAGAAGACTACCTTATGGGAACTGTCTCGGACACGAATAAAGTAGAGGACTACCTTATGGGAACTGTCTCGGACACTAATAAAGTAGAGGACTACCTTATGGGTACTGTGTCGGACACTAATAATTTAAAGGACTACCTTATGGGTACTGTCTCAGGCTCTAATAAAGTAGAGGACTACCTTATGGGTACTGTCTCGGGCACTAATACAAAGTAAAGGACTACCTTATGGGTACTGTCTCAGGCTCTAATAAAGTAGAGGACTACCTGATGGATACTGTCTCGGACACTAATAAAGTAGAAGTCGACCTTATGGGAACTGTCTCGGACACGAATAAAGTAGAGGACTACCTTATGGATACTGTCTCGGCCACTAATAAAGTAGAGGACTACCTTATGAGGACTGTCGCGGACACTAATAAAGTAGAGGACTTTATGGGAACTGTCTCGGACACTAATAAAGTAGAAGACTACGTTATGGGAACTGTCTCGGACACGAATAAAGTAGAGGACTACCTTATGGATACTGTCTCGGACACTAATAAAGTAGAGGACTACCTTATGGGTACTGTCGTGGACACTAATAAAGTAGAGAACTACCTTATGGGTTCTTTCTCAGACACTAATAAAGTAGAGGACTACCTTATGGGTACTGTCTCGGACACTAATAAAGTAGAGGACTACCTTATGAGTACTGTCGCGGACACTAATAAAGTAGAGGACTACCTTATGGGTACTGTCTCAGACACTAATAAAGTAGGGAACCACCTCATGGGTACTGTCTCAGACACTAATAAAGTAGAGGACTTCCTTATGAGTACTGTCGCAGACACTAATAAAGTAGAGGACTACCTTATGGGTACTGTCTCGGACACTAATAAACCAGAGGACTATCTTATGGGTACTGTCTCGGGCAGTAATAAAATAGAGGACTACCTTATGGGTACTGTCTCGGGCACTAATAAAGTAGGGGACTACCATATGGGTAATGTCTCGGACACTAATAAAGTAGAGGACTACCTTCTGGGTACTGTCTCGGACACTAATAAACCAGAGGACTATCTTATGGGTACTGTCTCGGGCAGTAATAAAATAGAGGACTACCTTATGTGTACTGTCTCGGGCACTAATAAAGTAGAGGACTACCTTATGGGGACGGGCTCGGACACTAATAAACCAGAGGACTATCTTATGGGTACTTAAAGTAGAGGACTACCTTATGGGAACTGTCTCGGACACTAATAAAGTAGAGGACTACCTTATGGGTACTGTCTCGGACACTAATAAAGTAGGGGACTACCATATGGGTATTGTCTCGGACTCTAATAAAGTAGAGGACTACCTTATGGGTACTGTCTCGAACACTAATAAAGTAGAGGACTACCTTCTGGGTACTGTCTCGGACACTAATAAAGTAGAGGACTACCTGATGCAACTGAGATAACACATCAAGGACCACGGAATTTCACATATGAAAATAAAGAACCGATCCAAAATGAGGGTAGGGTGTTTTCTACAATATCAAGAAACTGTCGAATAGTAGCTTTAGGTCTCTATACGAAAGAACGGGGTAAACTAAAGATGCTGATGTGGGGTTTTCTTTGCACCACAGGAGCAGGTGGATGGGAAGCGTGGGGTCCCTGGGGCGCATGCTCTGTCACATGCGGAACAGGAAGCATAAAGAGAAGCAGGAAGTGTGACAGTCCAGCTCAAATGGGTGGTGGCACTTATTGTGAGGGTGTTACTTCTGAGGTAACGCCCTGTGTTTTGACACCTTGTGCAGGTAAGTTTACAAATTGCATAGATCGTCAACTTTTTATAAGTATTTAACAAAAACACCAGGTATGTCCAAATGAATTTGAAATTTCTATTTTTTTTTTTAATTTGAATAAACTGTAAAATAACGAGTAATTTGTTATCAAATGATACAAACCATTTTACAGACTAAGGCAATGCATGAATCGCAATGAACATAATACATATTTTTCAGAAACGTTGGAGTGTAATTTTTATACATGCAATTAGTAAAACCTCGTGTTTTCTTTAATCAGGTGACCGCGTTTTTTTCTGGAAAAGTTTAAAACATTGTTCAACCATATACATGTCAAAATCATATGATATTTCTGTTAACAGCAAAACAGCACTGAGGTGTAAACAAAAACACACCTAATACTCAATATCGACGAGGCAAGGGTAGATATTCAACAATGAAAATAATGCCGAGCACGTTAAAAAATAGAAGCATATGAACAGAGGTTCCGGGACGGTAACGATATTGTTTTCACTGACGACAATTTCTAATAGGTCAAAGTGAACTCAAAGTGAGAACCGAACCAGTGACAGCCAAACAACTAGGTACACTACCGATCATTAGCTAATGCATTTATCCTCTTATCGTACACACATTCCGCAATAATGGAATGATTTCATCAGCTGCGTCAAACTGCATTGTACATTGAGCATTCTTGTTTATGTTTGAACAATTTTATTAAATATGTTTAAGACATAACAGATGAATGTATATGCTGATTGAGGTATGCTCTTTTTATACGTTGGTTAGCACACATACTAATGTGTATTTATATCCTATGCTTTATACTTTTTGTACTCGAATATTTGCATTTCAAAAATGAAGGTATTGTATCCTTGGGATATATATACTAGTGTACGGGTAACGTGTAATTTTGGTCTCAACTACATTTAAACGAACAAGTTATAGTAGCGATATTGATATTGAACTATTCCCGAAAAAATGCAGAATTCTGTCATCTGTGCAATGTTGACATGATCGTTTAAAAAAAAATTAAAAGAATCAAGAGAAACATCATAATTCAAACTCAAATTGAAAAAAATGTGGTAAAAAATGACCAATTGAAAGATTTACATGGAAACCCTTAAATAAGAAAAAAGAGAATAAGACCAGGGAATCCAGAAGGGTAAGCGTCCTCTGCTTTGTAAACGACAACCGCCGTTTAAATCTAAAACGAATTAATGCAATGCACGTCCTCACCACAACACTATAATCAAATTAATGAAAAAACATCGACCCTCATATCATAAAAGTACCATATTTCCTTGCGAGAGGCTGATGTGACCCATAACAAATGTTCATAGTCCGAACGGGTGTGCTACTCAACGTCATTCTCGCTCTTTAACTTTTTGCAATAAATACCTTATCCCCATGGGACTCAATGCCAGCCAGCAGTGGCACTCACCACCTATACAACATACCATGCATAGGCTTTGTTCAGAGACACCAGATAAGACATGTTCAGTCTTTCATCAGTTTCTCTAGTATTCAGTTTCCCCCGACTCCTGATGTTTTGGTGTTTCATCGGTTTCTGTTGTTTTAGTGTTTCCTTGGTTTCTGCTGTTGAAGTGTTTCCTCGATTCCAGCTGTCTTCTTTTTAATGACCTCCGGATTGTTGTTAGCTTTGTGCTGAAGTGCAGTTTATACGTTTTAATTACCGACTCATCACTTCGAAAGAGAGATATGCTGCAAAGAATAAAACAACGCTTTAAAGCTACATAAATTTTGTTCATGGTGCTTTTTTTATATAATAGTTTGATGTTAAAATCGAATACTATATCGTATATGTTACCGCATATTTCGTCGAAGATGAAGTCTATAATTCTGTTGAAACTATTTTATTTATTTACCAATGACAGATACAGGGAAAAAAGATGCCTTTATGTTAACTGTGGCAAGAATATGATTGCTTCTTATAACTATACGTCTGGTCGGACACTTATTTCCTATTGTCCAATTAATGTAGTGCTCTTTCGTGTCCCGTTGGGTCCAACTGTTAAAGACAACTTGGCAAGTTGAAGTATGTGAATTTCATTGCTTGATAGTAGAATTAAAGATCAATACTGGAGAACATTCACAGTGGTTTCAAAAAAAAAATTCAATTTAATTCATTGAACCACTTATGTATTTAGAACGAATTCTATAAATGTTGTTTATTTTATTTGATTTTCTGTTGTTTGATTAATCAGTGGATGGTATGTGGGGAAGCTGGGAACAATGGGGTGTGTGTTCCGCTACCTGTGAGTCGGGTCTACAGTTAAGGAATCGTACATGTGACAATCCTGCACCAAATCATGGCGGAATCGACTGTCAGGGTAGATGGAGGGACTCCACAATCTGTACTTTATCAACCTGTCCAGGTAAATGACGCTTCTAAGGATAATGAGCCATAAGTATATACATGTATTGGTAAAAGTAATTCTGAAAGGTTGATATATGAACAATATAGAATCTTGTACATCTCTTCAAGATCTCAAGCATTTTCATTGTAATTTATTTTGTATAAACGTGACGCTTACCTGCTAAATACATTATAAAACTCTTACTATCTATTTTTGATGAACCTATGGATATGCTAGCGCTTCAATAATCCCAGCAGAACCAGACACTACCTTGAAAAAAAGCTAATAACTTACTATTGACCAAGCGTACAACACAATTAACGAAATTACGAGTATGTAGAACAACAAATTTGCAAAGATTTGCTACTAATAACTTAAACTGTACTCCAAGAGCTGTGCTTGATAGAATGTATCACAAAGATAACATGTTACAATCAGAAAGTCACTGTGATTGATGGAGTGCATCAATAAATAACACAACACTACAAAAAATAGGGAAAAACATATTTCAGGTAAAGTATAGCTATATATATGCCATTTTGTGAGCAGCATGCATGGATAATACAAGGATGAACGATACATTGCATGTTTTGTGTACATTTCTTTAGTTCATGGAGGTTGGGAATCATGGAAGAGCTGGAGTGCATGCGCATTAGTCAACCGAAATGTGAGAAGAACAAGATGTCGCACGTGCACTAAGCCCACTCCCGCCCACGGGGGAGATTACTGCCCTCATCGCCCAAGGCAGTCGGAGAATTGTGACATTCCAAAATGTTAGTATAGTAAAGTTCTTATGATGATATAAACTAGTTACAGTTGTAATCTGTCGTGTTCAGCGTGTGCTATTTTACCAGCACAGTCGACGCAGTTCCACTGTGGTATGCGGTATATTTCTGGACATTTGCTGTGTATAAAATCTTTGGCTGATTTTTGTGTCATTTTTAAAACATTGTTCCAACAAATAGGACGAAATTTATTAATTATTATGTACTGCACAATATGACCTAATCAAGAGACTACTACCTAATGATAAAGATATGAATGTTCAAATATACAGGTCAATAAGGTTACCTATTGGCTTTGCAGTTTCAAAATTATATTGTCATATCTTGTGTTTGTTTTATGGTCATCAGCAGCTGTCCGGCGCCCGTGTCGATGCCCATTATCGCGAGTTGCTGAGATTAAGAACATAAGTGCAGAGGAACTGATAGTTTTGGTGAAGGAAATCAAAGATGAGCTGGCCGTGGACGTATCTAAGCTTTCAAGTATGTATAGCATGCGACACAATGTTCATCATAAATCAAATCTATCAAAATTGGTTAAACTATGTCAGTATTTGGCATGAAAGGGTCATGTTTACAATAACTAATATTTTCGGTGATCGAGCCTTTTTCTTATTGATGCCATGTACAGTATAAACATGCCTGGACTTCTGGATCTTTTGAATAACCGTCGAGCTCTTTGTTGTGTGAATGTATGACGTCACTCCCTTTTATCTCATTTGAAGATATTGCTTTTCACATATTGTCTGAACTCATATTTCGCAACTGTTTGTTTATAAACGCATTCTTAAATACGAGTTCTATTGTTGTGCTCTCATTATAGACCTTTTTTTCAAGTTTCCATCTTTTTGATGTACAATGTATATGCAATACCATACGTATGTGTTCATTGGACGTTTTAGATTGAACAATTGCATCGAGCGTATGGATATATTCCGCGAGGGCTTTAGGCTGAGTGAAATATATCCGTTCTCGAAATAACCTATTAACATCTAAAAAGTCGTTAAGACCTTATGTGCTGAATTGCTCTTATAACATACCACAATTTTTATGTATAAACATTACCTGCAAAACATTACGCACATCATTTCACGTTTGCTTCCCGAAAACTGCTTTTCATTCATGTTTCAAAAAATGCTCCTTGTTTCTAGGGTATTATAATAGCTGGTGTAATCATTGTGCTAAATACGGAACTGGTATTGCATGAAATGAAATCAAACTATATCGTTTTACCTCAATTCATCAATTATATTTTAAATAGTTGCATAATTTAAGCACATGGCACACAATGTATTTCCTAAAAGTAATTTAGACTTTGTCCCCTGAGTGTATCAGGTTTAGCGCTGGATTACTGTGATACTTCAAGTATGGAAACACGTGTAGTTACAGCATTTTGCGGTAAAAAGCTTAAAGAAAATAAGTGGTCTTGCCAGCAATGCATCTTTGCTACCTAGAAAAGGTTTCTAAATATGTCATAGACATGTAATGGCTTTATTGATTTTTGAACAGAGACTATCGGAAAGAAAGTATCGGCCAGAGATTCCAGAGTGTCAACAAAAACCATTGGAGTTGTAGGATCTGTCCTACTGATCATTCCGTTCGTACTTGTCATTGGTCTGGATTGTGTTAACCTTTATCGCTACTTCAGGAATGAACAGGACAAAGTAATATCACTACAGTAACATGTGAGAGATGGAGATCGAAGAATAAAATCATACCAAGACATTTCTCAGTATTGAAACAAACATATATTAAGCAAGTTCCAAGATGGACGCTGGGGTAGGAGGAGTTTTATTTGCTCTCCTGCTACTTGTTCCGTTTTATCAACTTTACTTCACTCAAGCAGTATACTATATCTTGTGGAAACACTTGGCTTGTGTTATTTTTTTCTTTTTTTTTCTTTTTAAAGAGAGATTTTAGCAAGAATATTTTTACTTGGAGTTATATACACTAGTAGGAACTCGCAGAAAACAAGGAGAGTGTGCATTTTTTTTAACTATTTTTACACATATGTCTTATTCTCTCAAACGACGTTGAGCTAAACCCTGGACCCATTCACCAGGGCACTAATCCCCTACCTGGCAGTGTCTCACCTGGAGAATACTTACCTGTTAGTACAGGAACGAACTGTTTCCAATGTACTCTACCTGTATGTCAATTGGATTATGCGACCTGTGTGAGTTGTCCAGCAGTGTTTCATTCTACCTATGTGACTACTTATCAAACACACGTAAACTTGAAATGGATTTGTTATAGCTGTGTGGACCATTTTCTACGTTGTATGACTTTGACCAGGTATCATACACTTTTATCCAAGATCGTTCAAAGGGCTTGACATTTGGGCATCTTAATGTAAGGAGTCTCCCTAGCAAAGTTGACCACATACGAATATTACTGAGAAACCATACCTTTGCGATATTTGCGGTGTCGGAAAGTCATCTTGACAGTACTATAGATGATTCTGACATATTGATATTTCGGAAGGATCGCAATAGGCATGGTGGTGGCGTTGCCATATACGTTCATGACAACATTTCTGCACGTGAGGATAGTGTTGACCCTACTGGGACATTAAAACTACTTTCTATAAAAATACGACAGACAAACTCAATACCAATTTCATGTGTTAATGTCTACAGACCGCCAAACGATCGAGTTGACTTGTATGATACACTTGATACGGCTATTGCCAGACTATCAACTGAAAAACAAAACTTTGTTGTTTTGGGTGAAGTTAACATTGATGAGCTTAAGACTTCCAGACTGAAAATCTTGATGTTACTCTACAACTTACATCAGCAATTTTGACGATAGTCTTTTTGACATTGAGAGCTTTGATACGGAGATGCATTATAGCATTCCAATAATTACAGCAGATTTTACGCATTCAAATTAAACACATACCTGGATGGTATATCAGTCGGACTTTTGAAATGTGCAGGAGAAGCTTTTGTATTCCCTCTTATCTATTTATACAATATGTCAATATCCAACGCTGTCTTTCCCTCAGAGTGGAAAAGAGCAAATGTCACTCCGATTTTTAATGCGTGTTACCCCACATCTGTAAACAATTATAGACCAGTCTATGTACTGGTAGGTCTAAGTAAAATATAGAAAGACATGTACATAATACTTTTTTACGATTATTTAACTTCAAATAAATTTTAAAGCGACATTTAATTTGGGTTTTGACCAAACCATTCAAAAGATACCTCTCTGATAAGTGTAGTAGACCAATGGCTGAACAATAGTGTCTGACTGGTCTTGCTGGTGTTGTTTTTATTGACCTTCGCGATGCTTTCGATACACTTAATCATACTGTTCTGTTGTAAAACTTCAATGCATATGGTGAATCTGCTTCAGCCTTAATTTTTTGCAAATGGTACCTCACTGGGAGAACACAAGCAGTAAGTTTCTCCGGTGTATTGTCGGATTATTTGCTCCCATTTAGTGTTCCCAGGGCGCTATTTTAGGGCCAGTGCTGTTAATTTGGAGTATTTGAAACATTCTGTAGCTATGATGTTTACAGACAGTACGTCACAGAGTGAGAAGGAAAAACAGTGAGTCTGGAAGCAAAAATGTCAGAAGATATCTTAATCACAGTTAAATGGATGAAGGATAATAAATTGAGCCTTAGTCTAACTTAAACCTAATGTATGATGATAGGGTCCTCTCAAAAGCTCGCAAGATGTCGGCAGCTGATTTTGAAAGTAGGGGATCTCACGGTTGAAACTGTAAACTGTGCAAAACTACTAGATGTAGGTGTTTATCGATAGTTCTCTCTCTTGGAAAGAGCATATTGAGTATGTTACAAAGAACATTTCAAACAGAATTGGTGTGTTAAGGAGACTAAGGTCATTTATGTCGAACGATGTTATTACAAAAGTGTACAGTATGGTTTTCTTCATTGTATGTACTGTTCTACTGTCATGAGTGAACCTAGCAACAAGTTATATCTGAATATAGAAAAGAGCAGCTTAGATATCGTTAAATGTAAGGGACATTCTTACTTCATCCAGGTCACTTTTTGAAAAAATTAAAATGGATGCCAATAGCAGATTTTTAAGTTTAAAAAACAATGGTCCTTTCTTATAAAATTCTACATTTTGAATCCCCGGGTACTTTCAGTGAATATGTTTTCCTATGTACAAACTGTTAATGGAAGAACAACTCGAGCTTCTGTATCAAACAAACTGTATGTTTCAATTATCTCAAAAGGTCATTTGTATCTTGTGGAATGAAGCTAGTAATGCAGTTAGAGACTGGGGTAGTGCTGGGCTTATAAAAAGCAGATACTTGCACCATTACTTTACAAAATCTTAGCTATATACCGGCGTATTTTATTTATATACTACAAGTAGTCTTAAGTTTCAATTTCAAAACATTTTTTTGTGATACTTAATCTATCGTATTGTTATGCCGGTTGGCCTATTATCCAAGTAAATTGTGTGTTCATGTTTTGTACATATAGTTAGAAAGTGACAGTATTATTGTTCCATTATTGTACACGAATTCACATTGAATACTTTGAGATTGTTATGTTTTATGAGATTGTGTCATTCTATACGTATTCTATTTTAAATCTTAATGTGAGATGTTGTTGAAGTGTGTAATTATCAAGATTCGTATGCTGAAAGCTTACATAGTCCGATATGAACACCGAATCTGCACTCTTATTGATACAGCAATTTCGTCTGTAAATTATCTCATATTGTTGTATTTCATCAAATTGTAACATGATACAAGTATTCCATCCAAATAAGGCCGTAATATTGTGTTGTGAGTCTGTAAATTATACGATATAAGTGTTTAAATGCGAGGTGAAGACTGCATATTGAACCAATGTGTATGAGCAGACGACAAGTCCACCGCCAGGTGTAATCTGTATTTTTACGGGAAACACACGTTTATACTCAAAACGATTGTTCAGCGTGGTAATATAACATCATACCGGTCATGTGTATTCCATGTAATCATACTGTCTGAACTTGTATAGTCCATTAGAGTAGAAAGTTTGTCTCAGACAAAGCGGTTCGTCTTCTAAGGCAGCCATATTTGTTTATCTTTTCGGTAACACTCAGGAGTCATCAACATAGTATTTACTCGGATCTCTCGGACTTTATTCACTTAGTATCTTTAACGCGGGAGATCTCTCGTGTAAGTAAATTCAAGCAATATGATTGGCTAGCACTTTCTATAAATTGAGAGCCGGGAGATTCGAAGGCTCAGTGTCATTTTGACCTCAGAGGCGAAAGCAGGCAAAGCGGAGAAACCAGGCTAAGCAAGCAGCTGACTTTGATACCTTTTAAGTAGCAGAGATGGAGAAGGAGCAGAGGGCCGGTGTTAAGGTATTAAGAGAGAAATACTAGGAGATCACTAGGAAAATTAGAATATGTAACAGTAATATTAGGAGATAGGTGAGGAGAAAAGTACTAGGAGGTCATTATGAGATTACTAGGAGTAAAGGCGCCATGTACTAGGAGAAATGTACTAGGTGCAATTTAGGAGAAATATACTAGGCACAATTTAGGAGAAATGTACTAGGAACAATATAGGAGATATGTATCAGAAACAAAAATACTATGTGCAGCTAAATAGTTTAGCAACAGCATCTTTAACAACAGATATCTGAAGCATACATTAAAGAGATACAACTACTTTGTTCATATTTAACAACCTGCTGATTAATTTATAATCACATTGTCTATTAATCAAAGGGAGACAACTCATCTCAACATTGTACAGGATACTCTCAGGCTGCTGTTGGGTGTGCTTTTATATTGTTTACTTGTCACTTAAATGTCTACAAATAAATTTCCACTTTAACTTGATTTCTTTGTTGAGTCATTTTTGAAGAATTTGCCACAAGCCAACAACCAAACGGATATGTTTTTAAATTATACAATGCATCGTCAGGAAAGATACTCGGCCGGACGGCAGACTGCTTAGAGTCTTGAGTACCTGACGATCGGGCATTGCAGTATGAATAGGGTATCTGTGATAATCTCCCTTATATAGATATTATAATGCATAAATATAGTTTCCTACATCTTGTTTCTAGTAAAAGGCAAATGTCATTGGATGATTTCTATTATAAATGACTTTTTACACCCCCGACTTCATTGTCTTATTTTAATGACACTATTATTGTATATCTTGTCATTTGTTACCCTTTGCTAAATTAGTGTTGTATGAATATTTGACTATGATAGTGCTTAACCATATCATTCAGTAACATTTGTTTGATATGCAAGTGTTCTCTATTAAATTATATTTTAGGAGTTCCAAATTTTAAGTTACATTGACTGTAATGATATCATATACTGCATAGTTATACTGTTATCTTAAATTGTTTTCATACTTGTATATATAGTTTGCTTCAGTGCCATATTGTAAGCTAGACATTGTCTAAATATGTAACCCTGGTTAAATAAAAGATATTATCGTTATTGTTATTAATATATCTTGTATCCTTGGCGAAACAAAGAGATGTCATGCGCCTTTTTCTGAAAACAAAGGCATCCTTTATTAACAAGCATGTACCTATATATTTATTTTTATTTAATACTCATGTAGCATTTGTCTTTAACCATACAAACATATTGCGCGTGTCTTATATTTAGCAAACAAAAACACACACAAACAGATACTGTATGATGTTCCCTTTATCAAACGCATTTGCTCATATTTACATTCTTGATATTAGTTATGTACATGCATCAACCAACTGAAAACAACTGTCATTAGACCATGAATACACTACGATTACAGCGATTCTAGTGCAACCACTCATCTGCACACACAATGAAAACTTCATATTACTACGCATAGTACCGTTTATGAGAAGAGTCATCTCCTCTTCTCCGGGATAACGTAATTGGATAATAAACATTACAAAAATCATAAAGGAGGCACTATTGTACCATTACTATTATTATTTTCAATTTTAGATTATTTTTTTATTGATAACATTGTCATATCTAATACTGACTTCCGACTCGCAATCGGTTCCTCGTGGTCACAAACTTTCTAACACCGAAACGTCCGGCTGCGTAATCCCCTTGACGTCAACTTGCACATGAAACCCAGAGAACTTTGTAATGACTCAGGGTACTTAATCCATCAACTTATCATCATATACATATTCCACGGCTGTACGTTTAACTTCAAATGAGCTGTATGCCTACTGACGAAGTTTGTCCTGTAGGGGAACTATGATGACCGATGATGTAAAATAGTGCGGACACAAACTTTGTAAAATATGCACTGTTCGGTGTTTAAAAACATTAATTAATTTCAACTTTCAAAAATGAAAGGAATATCAAGTGTTGGTTATCATTAGATTTTCAAGTGTTGGTTAATATTAGATTCTAGATATATATTTTCGTTTCAACAAAATCAGCTGATGGGCGGAAGTCGCGCATTTGAAGTTTGTGTGCAGGCTGGAGTTCTGGCTGTTCCTTTTCATGGTTTTCTGTCCGATACTAATATTAAAATATTCAATTTACAAAAAGCGTTGTAACTTTTTTATTGTAGTTTATCGTAACGTAAATATTTGAATTGGATGGATTTTTGTCATGTACATTACTAACGCGCTCCACAGGATATGTAGATCAGCTACTGCTAATGTACATGTCAAACAATCCTTTCAATCCCTATGCGACTTCAATTGAACAAACAAGTAGTACAATTTGAATGTGTCTTTAATCAACAGATAACTTTTATCTCTTACTAAATAAACAACTGTTTCGCTGTTAATAGAATCAATAACGTGCTCCTTTGTGAAATGTAAATATGTATCCATGTCTGCTCAAAATATTTGCATTATTGCATGAGGTATTTTCTAATTCTCCCTTACACGATCCCGATCACAGTGTATATATACTAGTTTGCAAATCGGGTATTCCGTCTTTGCATATTGCAGAGTTATCTTCTCTTGGGAGCAGGTATTGATTGTTACGTCATTGATTTGTGTGTGAAAATTACGTCGTTTTCTCAAAAATTGATGACGTTACTCTCACAAACCAATGATGTAACAATCAATACCTGCTCCCAAGAGCAGATAACTCTGCAATACGCAAAGACGGAATATGACATCATGGTGACCTGTTTCTATGTTCCATTGCATAATGATATGTACTGTTTCTTGTGTAAACATCTATTTCGAACCGGCGATATATGTTTTATGTAAATCTATCAGATGTGTATACATGTTTTTTTCTGTTGTAAGAAACAACCAATTAAGGTTTAATTTAAACCGAGCTGTAAACATCATATACATGTACTAGAAGGGTCCATGTGTAAATGAAACTTATATCTAGGTTCCATATCATGTCTAACTACATATATCTTTTGGGTATATGATACCTTGTTCCTTTATATTTCTGACTGGCATATTCCGTCTTTGCGTAATGCAGAGTTATCTTCTCTAGTGATCAATACCTGTTCACAAGAGAAGATAACTCTGCAATACGCAAAGACGGAATAGATTCATGTGTATATAGCGTATTTTGATCAAATTCTGTGTTCAAATGAAATATTTTTTCAAACTTTGTTCCTGTGTAAAACAGGTAGATATGTATCTAAGTACGTTTATAAATTGTATGTAAAACGTCTGTTTGTGCATTATGTTATCCTTGGGTAAATCTGACGTAGTTTTTTTGGTCAAGCTGTATTTCTTTTATTTTGTAGATTGAATATATGATTAAGTATGCCTTTCATAAGGCAGATGTATATCTTGGTCCAACAGTATATTTTTTTTAAGTTTTTATAGTGTTTGCTAGTGTATCATGTCACTGAAAAAAACTATATTTCGGTACAAATTTATCAAGATACATGCATGTGATATCATGGAATTCATAACAAAGTTCCAAGCATGTAAATGAAAACCCTTTCGGCTTGATTAAAATAGTTAATGATAACGTACTCTGATGAGGATTTTTTACTACATTTATGTGATTTTTGAGACTAATTGGACTTATTATTTATATTGTGTAATGACTTCAAATATCTCTAAACATTTTCTTCATGTTGGTGAGTATGGATTATGAGAAGTTCTTTTTTACACAACCAATACAATTTTCTATGTGACGTTTCGATGTAAGTACGATATGCACACTGTCACCTTCATCAGACAAATGACCAATGAAGCGTATGCACACAAAGGTGTAAAATGTGTACGAGTTGTCCATAAAATCGATGTCAATTTCGGCTATGCTGGAAACGTATGTACAATAGTTGTTAGATATGTACCGAAATGACTCAATATGACGTCATATACCTGGTAATTCAGTTATGTGATTCGGCTCCTAACTTAAAAAAGTACTTTTGAATGTAACTTCAATGTATCTCGATACAAATGTTTGAATTATTGTATTGACCAATACCAATATCAGGTATCGTGCAGTAATGGACAATTCAACTCATTTTGAATAAATACACATTTTCTGTTTCAATTATATATATGGAAACAATTCAGGTAAAAGCAATTTTTAAGGGAAAACAAAGTATAAATTAATTGGTAGGCCTCCCTGTAGAGAGTAGAGCAGTGCCAAAAATATGTAATAGATGATAACAGCTATAGGAATACACACTCAGTGCCTCCGTAATAAGGGAGTTAAGGGACCTGATTTGATAGGGAACATCAACGGGAACGTATTGTTCGTATTGATGAAAGGTATCATGGTTGAATATATATATCAGGCCTAACCACATTACATTACATTGTATAAGAAAGTTGTCTTTGAAAGAGCAGCCTTAGGTCAGGGATACTTAGTCTTGAGTAAAGAAGTATTAGCCCCTCTCATAAGACAGAATAGTTAAACTATCGGCGTAAATTTATAATCAATCTAATTAAGTATGCATTTTAGTAATAGCTTAAATTCAGACATCCGGGTGATCAAACTTCTGATTTGGTTTTTTTAAAGTAATTTAATATTCAAAAGAAAGGTACCATCAATGCAATAGTTGTCGTACCTGCGATGGCGCCCGAAGTAGAAAAGTTACTTTTAATTAAAAGTATAATTATAAAGTAGGGGTAAAATTGTTTTGGTCTTGTCTGGCTTAGAATCTGACAGGGCAAAATAAAATCTAAAGGGTAAAAATGAAGAGAGGCAAACACGGGGACGGGGATGTATCATAGATATGTTGACTGATCTTTGAAAGACCCCTCGTTAAACTCAGGCCTCATGATCGATTGATAACCAAACACTAATGTAAATGTGTCTTCTTATGACCAGCTGTCATTTTTGCCCTGATTTGAAATATAATATGGCTATTTTGACGACCTGTGATTTGCTGGAACATTTTCCACTCTTTCACAATTTACATCGGGTCCATTTTGCAAATATTTCGCTCAAGGCCCAGATCAAGTGTTTGCATTTTTTCTGACCAATACGAAGCCATTTTCCACTTCCACTTAACCTATGGTAAACAAAGTCGATATGAATAATGTTTGTTATGATTCTCACCAGGTATTATCCATTCAACTTCCTATTTAGCTTGGATAACAAAAGAGACAGGCGAACGACACTGCCCGATGGACCCGATCTGAAATAATGTCGTAATTGTTTTCACTTGTACAGAAAAACTGAGTATACTACATTTTATGTGTGCTAAGTTCTGTAGTATCTGTAGAATCAGCTGTAGTATCTGTAGTATCATCTGTAGTATCTGTAGTATCATCTGTAGTATCTGTAGAATCAGCTGTAGAATCAGCTGAAGTATCTGTAGAATCAGCTGTAGTATCTGTAGTATCATCTGTAGAATCAGCTGTAGTATCTGTAGTATCATCTGTAAAATCAGCTGTAGTATCTGTAGTATCATCTGTAGAATCAGTTGTAGTATCTGTAGTATCATCTGTAGAATCAGCTGTAGTATCTGTAGTATCATCTGTAGAATCAGCTGTAGTATCTGTAGTATCAGCTATAGTATCTGTAGTATCATCTGTAGCATCTGTAGTATCTGTAGTATCATCTGCGTTTTTCACTTACTGTGTTCTGTATACAGCTTCTTAGAAGTCTGATTTGAGAGATAGAAATGGTGACATTTATATTTTAGTTTGAAAGCAATATTGAAATATAATGGCACTGCAACGGCTATATGCAAAGAGAAATGCTTAAGATCTTAAGAAGAGCTTTATTTGAGCATTATTTAATTGATTCTTGGTTAACAGCTTTTTCTCATTTTCTAACTCATTCAACATAATACATCTGTAAATTGTGCATTAACATTTTTGATTGGCTTAAGATCTTACATCTTTTGTTTACCGTGTTAATACTCAAATGGTTCAAAGTGGGAACTATTAAAAGTTGAGAGTTCTGACAATCTGTCATATATCTCCGATTAAGAAGAGAACCGATTGATTCGACATTTTGTTTACCTAAAGTTGTCAGCAAAGAATTATAAATAATGCAAAGAGGTGTCCATTAGTTTCCTTTACTAAATACAAAAAAATAAAAACAAATTCTAAAATGGTTAGGTTAAATTTTTCAATTATGAAACTATTTGCGATTTAGTTAGGAGGACGGGCTGCGCATGTGTACATTATTTATCAAATTAATGCTTTTGAAGACCAGATCGTCTATTAATTTGTGTTATAACTAACATACTCATGTTTAGTAAGCACTCAATTAGCCTAGCCGATGCAGGTCCCTCGACTTTCCTCTAATCAACACCTGCGACACTGTTGAGTGCCCCAATTGTCAGCTCTGTGCCACCTTTGTCTTTATACCATCTACATTTAGTCCCCCTACGCACACACTGTGTTTCTCTGATTTTCACTCTCATTGGCAGCAGTGTCATTTTAACGTCTTTATGACATACATCATCTCTGGCTTTCATAAATTGTTACTATTTATAGACGCACATATTACTGGAAATTGATTAATATATCAAGATTATGAGGGATATTTGTTTAATTCGCCAACATAGTGATCTAGCATAAAAGAAACTTTAATACAATACTGATTATCATGTTTCAATTTTAATTATTTTTGCAGGTTGATCGATACATGTAACCTTGTTTTAACAGAATCCTGAAAAACAATACTATTCAATTATAGCCTTTGACTGAGGTCGATACCTGGATTTATCAACCCGAGAAAAGATATATTGACAGAGGACGCAGTCGGGTCGATAAATCCAGATATCGACCGAAGTCAACGGCTACAATTGTTTTATTATTTTCAAAACAGTAATGATAGCAATCTGAGAAAAAAAACACAGCAAAAAGCTACGGATGCGGGACAATGCGTTCGTTTGGAGACACGTCATAATTCTATTTTTAGAAACACCCAGTCCTTTAACAGAAATCACGCGCTCCATGTCAATATCGATTTTTTATCGTTGGACATATGATTCACTTCTGGCCAATCACTTGTCGGGAATAATATGTAAAAATAATAAATACTGATTAATATAGAAGAGCCGGTGAAGTATTTCTTTTCGATGATTTCTGCGATATGTACAGTGTCATCTGAACGAGACCAATTTAGCTGATCATGATGAAGAGTACATGGCAAACTAGTCATGTATGGAAGGGGATCACCGCCATAATTATTTTTTATAGAATTAGTTACTTCTGGTTTGGAATCTAATTCTATGTACATTTGTATTATTTCCCTAGTTGATAAGTTATAGAATTAGTTACTTCTGGTTTGGAATCTAATTCTATGTTCATTTGTATTATTTCTATGTTCATTTGTATTGTTTCACTCGTTTACAAATCTATTGCGTGTTCATTCCATGCTATGCTAGTTTTACCGATCGCGATTTCGACATCGTTTATGACTGGAGCGCCGCTTGTCGTCTTAATGAGGAACTAAAATTCTAGAATGAATTCTAGAATTCATTCTAGAATTTTAGTTCTCATTAAGACAACAGCCGGCGCTTAAATCGCCAACGAAATTCGCGGAAAATAATGCTCGCTCCCTTAAACCGGAAACATACCCGATTGTGGCAGTAGATTTTGGAA